ATATATATATATATATTAATCATTAAAAATATATTGATCAGTGCCCCATTTTTTTTTATGTGTATGACTCACGTATTTCTTTTAAGTTATTCTACTTAAATTTTTTGTTTTTTAAAACTAAAAATAAGTAAATGGTGCGAATTTATTTTAATTTTAACCTTTTGTCATATATAATGTTAGCATATTCATTGTTTTGATGATTTTTTTTAGCTCATGTAATATATTGCATTTTTGTCTTGATATTTATAATGTTATTATTTTTTTTAATATGGTATGCTTATATCTAGCGCCATGTTGAATGAATACACACCTCTCTCAAAACTTTCTTTATATTGTTCAGTTTTCTTTGACAGTAATAGATCTCACTTTATATGTGAATGTATTTTTTTAATTGATAATCAAAAATTCAATTCTTTTTAATCAAAAAAAAAATTCAATTCTTTCCTAAACATAAAAATCATCGAAAAATTGTCCACTATATTTATTGAACCACAATCCCTCATACCAAGGTCACCCACACGAACTACTTAATTGTTGCGAGTCACGCACAACGAAACTCTGTTAAGTGTTGATACGATGCTAGTTAAGCAATGTAAGTGGATGAAGAGAGAAAGTAACCCACTTTTGGAAATAATTTTTTGTAACACACTTTTAATTATTAATTAAGTTTTATTAAAAATAAAAAATCATGAATGAGACTTATTAAAACAGAATGATCATAAAATTTTATAATTTCATTTTTTTAATAAATTTAAACTAATAGTAAAGTCTATTGAAAAAAAGTGTTGAAAAATATTACTAGTATTTATCGTCTTAATGAATGTCTAATTTTTTAATTAACCCCTTTTAAAATGGTTAAAATAGTTTAGAAAGTAAAAATGTAATAATGAGGATCGATTTAAAATTTAATTACATATACATTATGATGATGTTATTTTATCATCATTATTGTTGACTTCAAAATCAATAACTATAATTGAATTTAGTTATCTAAAATATATTTTAATTAGACAGTGTTTAATTAATTTAATTTTTTACCTTCTCTTTAAAAATGAGAAGTTGGGTAAATACAACTTTACCAACTAGTCGTTGAGTTGAATCCTATTTCTTTAAATTTAAATGGTTTGATATGGCAAAGTCCATATATAATATATAATTGGTATATAACCAAATGAGCTACATACTTACGTTTTATTTTTGCAGTTTTTAGTCTTTTTATAATTAAGAAAGAAAAAATGAAATGAATAATAATAATAAAAGGAGAAGAAAAAAAATTGATGGTATTATTGTGAGAATGAGAAATGGAGGGAAGGAGGAGAATTAAGAAGACAAGTATAATGCAGTGGCCTAATTGATAAGAAAGCCTTGTGCCTGGTTCAATATTTTTTTCTGAGGCCGGAGGGGCGGTTTAAGTAATCTTGCTCCGTTGGTACGGGATACTTTATTTCACCAATACTCTCTGTGCCTACTGCAACGTACACAGAAATTTAAAAGATATCAACATATATATGCATAAACAAATTAACAAGGTTCATTAACTAGTTCATGAATATATAATAGAGAGATGAGATGAATAAAGTTACCCGAGTCTATTGGGTATTTGCAGCCGACATTGCACCACCATTTGCAGAATGCTGCCGGGTAATAGCAAGCTTGGTAGCAATAATCGTAGCACTGTGCTGAGGTGCTTGGTACATCTTGATCTGCCTCAACAGTTGCAGCCACCACAAGGCACACCAACAACAATGCTAAGAATTTGTTTGCCATTATCTCGGCTTTCTTCCTTTTGCTCTTGTTGTTGGTTTATTTCTTTTTTCCTCCTTCCCTGCCTTACTCTTTCATCAACCATTCCTATATATACCTGCATAAATGCTTTCTTTCCTAGCTATAATTTGGGATCCTTGCTACCAAGTGTCATAAATTTAATATGGAATTTATAAATTAACTAGTTAATTATAGTCATATTTAAAAAACGGTTTCTTAATTTCCATGGTCGCGGTTTGTTAGACCCGCTTATAGCGGTGATGAATGAAATCGACGAGTAGCTGAAGAAGGGATGACTATTCTTATGGGTACCTACCAAAAATATCCAATGATCTGGAATTCGATATTTATTTGCAAAATTTAACAAAGATGAGTGTGTAGATAGTAGTGTTAAGATACAAATAAAGGATTGTTAGAACAAGAGAAAAAAAATAAGAATTTATAATGTGTAGGGCCGACCTCGACTATTTTCTTACTTTCTTGTATTCACATGTTATTTGAGTTAGTGGGGCTTAATTTTTTCTCATTATGATTCATAATTAATTATTTTACATTTTACATTTTTTTTATATTCTTACATATTATACGCATGTAACTAATTTTATATTTATTTATTTAATATAACCCATCTTTAATTGTACGAGCACTTATTTTGGCCTGATCAAGTATGTTATGTAAACTTTTACGTGTTTATAAGTTTTAATTTTGTTGGAGTTCAAGTGTGAAGTGAAGTCCCACATTGGTTAGCGTTGGGCATGTAGAGTAATATATAAGTGAGAAAGACCCACCTACCTAATGGCTTAAGGTTTTAGGTTATGTTGTGGTGTCAAGCCCACTTGTATGACTTACTCACTACTCACTATGTGGAATGCTTTCCAGTGTTCTAAATTCCCCAACATTGGTATCAGAGCCGATGGTTCGACCAAGTGACTGGTGATCGGCTCAGACGAGTATTAGTTGGATCTAAGAGTGAGAGCCTAAATGGAATTGGCAGGAGATACAAGAGAAGGATCATAACTTGTACTGAAAGTCTCCCTAGAGGCGTGGAGGACGTGTGTCGTTGAAGTGCAACGATATTGCAAGTAAGGCCACCATTGAATACTCGTGGACGAAAGAAAAAAAAGCTTCCGCTTGAGGCATAGTTTTAAAAATCGGACCGGTCATCGAACCGGTTAAGGTACTGGGTCAGTGGGTCAAAGGTTGAACCGGTGGGTCACTAGTTGAACCGCATGACTCGATTTTTATTTATTTTTATTAAAAAGTATTCATACTAAATATATTTTATACTTATAAATTTTAATAAATTCATATCTTATTTTAAATTTCAATTTTTCTATCTTATTTAAATTTATTTTTATTTTTATTTTGTAAAAAAATACATAAAAAAATTACATGTTAAACGGTATATTAATACAAATTAAAAATATAAATAATATGTACATATATAATATACTTGCAATTAATATCAGAAAATAATATATGTAATATTTACATAGATATTACATTATTAAATATATAATTTAAAATTAATAATATACTATAAAAGTTATTTAAGTTGTATATATTGCAAACAAATATATTAGAACAAGTAGTCATTGTTATATTTAATAAGACTCCTT